GGGGGGGGGCTGTGTCCAGCTGTTGGGGGGGGTCAGGGCACAAAGCCAAGGCCTCCGGGGCCTTCCTGCTGTTCCTGGCTGTGCTGGCGCGTCTCCCGGCCCACCACACTGGGGCAAGCTGGAGCCGGCCCCAGGCCGGGGGCTGCAGCAGTGGGGGTGACGCGCCCCCTTGCAGGCTGCCCCCGAGCTCGGGGGTGTTGGAGATGCGGCTTGCAGCTGCCCTGGGGGCGAGCGGGGGCAGCAGTGTCCCTGCCCCAGGTGCCCGGGGGCGGGAGGCGGGGTGGGGTGCCAGCCATGGGGAGCGGGGCCTGCCCAGCCCCAGGCCTGTCACCCGCCCAGGAACAAGGAACTGGTTTAAGGAGCAGCTCGGGCTGGTCTGGTGGCACTGGGGAAGTGACGCTGGGCAGAGCCACCCCCAGCTCCTCCCTGGGGTCCCCGGTGCTTGCGCGGTCCTGGGGGTGCTGGCCCTGGTGCCCTGAAGGTCGGCCCCTTCCTTCTGCCCCCGTGCTTTGCTTTTCCCCTTGATGGCATCCCTGGTAGCGAAGATGCCGCTCTGCCACCGTCCTCCTGTGACCCTGCGTGGGATGAGTCGCTTGGCACCGCGTGCGCATGGCTGACAGCAAACCCAGCCCAAAACCACCGTGCTGTTTGCTCGGGAAGTTCCTGGTCCGGGCACAATGACGGGCATTGTCTCTTGAGCCGGGCGCTGAAGTTGTGGGGGGTGCCGTATCTATTCGCACACCCCGCGCCAGCCTTGGAGAACCACTGCTCTCCCTGTCCTGCCCAGCCCAGCCCAGGCTTACTGCTGGGTCCCCATCCTTGGCTCAGGTTGCGAGGGACCCTCGGGGTCATCGGGTCCAGCCCCTGGCACTCCCTCCCTCCCTCAATCATTTGGCTCTTTTCATCTTAGCACCGGGGCTGGTTGCCACCTGCTTTTTTTCCTGGGGAGATTTTGGGCCAGTTCTTGTAAGAACGGTACCTGATGGCTGAACATCTGGGAGAGAAGAGGCATGTGCTTCCCTCTCCACCGCCCAGTTCAAAGGGAAACCTTGGTCAGCCCCAACCCGGCCTTTTCCTCCACTGAAAGCTGAAAAGAAAAATGCACCTGAAAACTCTGAAACCTGACTCATTTTCACAGGAGACCTGCCAACCTTTTCCAGCTTCTCCACAAGTCACCCCCCAAAAATTCGCGAGGGAAGTCGACACTTTCTGGGCCTTGAGTTTTCCTTTGTTTCTCAGAAGCTCCAGTTTGCCGTGAAAAGGAGTTTCGGTAGCAAGCGCTCATGGCTGGCGGCCTTGCAGCCCTTCACAGAGAGGGAAACTGAGGCATGGGAAGCATAAGGGGCTTCCCCAGGGTCAGGCTGGCCCTCTGGCCTTGCGTGCGTTGGAAGAGGTTTGCTGCTGGCACTGGACCGGTGCAAACGTGCAAGCTGCCCCTTCAAGCAGAGATCAGCTTTCACCAGTCTCTGGCTCTAGCCAGATCCCCAAATGCAATCGGTGATGGGGGTGATGCCTCTCCACTGGGGGTTTTGTGTGTAGAAAACTGGGGCAAAGGAAGCCTCACTCCTGATCGTGCTGTATGAATCCCAGCCTCTGCACCAGAATCAGCACCCCCGTCTCCTGCGTCTGGGCTAGGGGCTCTGGCCATCAGCATGGCCCCAGCTGGTGCAGAGCTACCCGGGCTAACGTGGGCGCTACCTGGAGCCCAGCAAGCTGCAGGTGCACCCCAGGAGCTGGGCGGGCACACCCACACATGATACAGTCCCACCCGGCCCGTGGGCAGCACACGGGAGGGTGCTTTGGTTTGCTTTGGGGTCCAGAAGGACCCGGTGCTCTCCGCACTGCCCTGCTCCCTACCCCCTGGCTTGGGGCTTGGCAGTCCTAGCAGTGACACCCAGTAGCTGGGAATGTCTCATCTGCCCCGGGCGGTTCAGCCCTTCTCTGCCAGATGCCCTGAGGAAACCCCGCCTCTGTGACATGAAGTGAACCAGGACGTGGAGGCGAGCAGATCAAGGGCTGGGCACCGTGGGGCTCCAGCACAGGCGTGGCAGGAGACGCACAGGGTGCCAGCATGGGGCACCCGGGACCGTGGTGGCTGGTTCTGCTGCTGAGCTGGGCCGTGCCCGGCAGTGTCCAGGGTGAGTGTAAGCAGGGACCCCTGTCTCTGTCCCTGGAGCGGGGCGGTGGATGCAGCTACAGCATCAGCGGGGTGCTCTGCCAGGGGCTGCAGGGCCTGCGCGTCTGGGTGCTTCGGCAGGGGCTGTCGTCCGCTCTGCTCTGTGCTGAAATGTCCCAGACTTTATGGATTTGTCTACGGGGTGGGGGGCAGGGGTCTGCAAACACTGGCACAGGGGTGGTGGAGGGCTGGGAGGCAGCATCACGCTCTCTGGATCGATGTATGTGTTGCCCCACATCCGCCCACTTTGGGTTCTGGCCTCGCTGGAGCGATCTAGGATGTAACACCCCGCTTCGTGGGGTGAGGACCAGACCCACCGAGAAGGGCAGACCCGCACAGACGGGTCCGCTGGGGCAGGCACCTTGCCGTCACCTCCCTTCTCTTTCCCTTCCTAAAGGAGTGCTTGACTAGCTTGATGAGCACGGCATTTCTCAGGCCTCCCTCGGGAAATGCCTGGCTCTTAGTTTCCATTTGTCTTTTAACAACAGAAAAATACAAGAGCAGTTTTTCTGTTGCAAAGACCTCCGCCAGCCCACCACGGGGCGGGATGGGTTTTTTTTAACGTTCTGGATTCCTCCCTGTGTGCTCTCTGGGCTTATCCAGTGATCGTGTCTGCACACCTACCAGCACAGATCGCGCTTTTGTATGTTTAAGACTTTTTACAGCCTTTTACAGCAGCAGGACTATTTACAACCCTTTATTACCTGCTGCTCCATGTTGTGTGATAACAAAATCAATAATGTGGGCAAGCGGGCCAGCGGGGAGGTTAGGGTGCAGCAGATCTCCTCTGCGGTTGACTGTGCAGGTCTCTTTGCAACTGCAGGGACCACAGGAGAGGTGCCAACAACTACAGGAGGCTTCTCAACCGTCTCCAGTGAAAGCATAGCTCCCCTGGGCACCAGCAAAGCCACCAGAGCAGACACCAGTAATGCCACAGAACGTGAAACAACAGCCACCACCCCAGCACCACTGACCACCCCTGCACCACAGACCACCTCAGCAGCTCCCACTGTCTCCTTTCCCCTTGACACCACCTCAGGGAGCCGCACACCCACGGGAGAGATCACCGCAGGAGACTCACACAGCCTCAGGTGGGATGGATTCAAAGCAGTGGCAACCGGGACACAAACTACAGCCAGTATTCCCCCTTTCCCACTTAGGACTACGGCTGGACCCACAACACACAGCACTCCATTAGCAACGATCACCATGGCAGCATCAGCTGCTATTACAAATCCTCCGGCATCAGAGGGAATATCTCTCTGGGTTACCCCTGCACCAGAGAGTGCAACATCCGCAGTGAGCTCCCTGGCAGGGACAGAGACCCCCAGCACCTCCACGGACGCCTCCACCATTGTCTTTCACACAACCGCTCCAGCCACAACAGCAAGTGCACAGTCCTCCAGCCTGGCAGCACACACCACCAGAGCCAACGATACGACGACTGTCTCCGCTGCACCGTACACCACCCCCATGTCTACTGGTGCTAAACTGGAGGGAAATACTACCACCTTAACAGCAGCACCAA